AGCTTTCTTTCTGCTGGTCTTCCATAAGCTTTCTTCTGGTGGTTTTCCATAAGCTTTCTTTCTGCTGGTCTTCCATAAGCTTTCTTCTTATGGTGTATCTGGTAACATCTTTAAGATTTCTGAGTCCTTCCTTTCCAATTGTAGTATAAAAGTTGTCCTCGGTGAACAGCACTCTTCTTCATATCCTGTAACTTCAGGGGTTCCTCAAAGTCCAATCTTGGGCCCTATTCTCTTTTTAATTTACATTAACGATCTTCTAGATATTCTCACATCTAAGGTGTCAATGTTTGCTGATGACACTACCATTGATTCTTGTCATAATAGGAAGCCAACACTCTCTGATTGCTTATCTTACTCTACATCTTCATCATCCTGTAACTTCTAGCTCTTATAGTGGTTGCTTGCAGTCTTGTCGGAAGCGAAGATGTAAAAAAAAAAAAAAATTAATAATAAAATTTTGTCTAAAAGCTAGGGCTCTTTTATTAAGAAATTTAATAAAACTATAAAATAGTTGCTTTTTTTATGGTATTTTATTATGATATATTTTGTAACAGTTTTTTTATAGCATTTTTTTATATCTGATAATGATCAATTCTATTTAGATCTAAATGTAATTAAGAAAATATAGAAAATATTAGGTTATTGTTATTTTTTGGTCTCTCTAAAACTATTATCTTATTCTTCTTTACTATCAGAATCCCCCTATCATTGTACATCTTACAACTACCTTAAAGCTGACTGGGACTCTTTCCGTGATTTTCTTCGTGATGGCCTCTGGGTAGAAATCTTTTATCTTCCTGTTGACAAATGTGCTTCTTACATAACTTCATGGATTCAAGCTGGCATGGAATCCTTTATTCCCTCTCGACGATTCCAGGTCAAGCCTCACTCTTCTCCATGGTTTTCCTCACATTGTGCTGCTGTAATTGCTAATCGAAACCATTACTTCCATATCTATCAGCAAAACAATTCTCCAGAAAATAGACGTCTGTTTATTACTGCTAGGAACCATTATAAAAAGGTTTTGTCTAACGCCAAAGCCCGCTATTCTCAGATCATGAAATCTTGTATTTCATCACAAAAATTAGGCTCTCGTGACTTATGGAGAATCTTTAATAGTATCAATAATAAGGGCAAGTCTGTAATTCCACCTCTTTTGTACGGTTCAGACTTTGTCACCTCACCTAAAGACAAAGCTGAATTGTTTGCCAAGAACTTTTCATCAATATCATCTCTTGACTCCACTAGTTGCGTTCTACATGATATAGCCGTCAAACAGGTTGATCCACTGCTCAACATCCGTATCACTCCAGCTTCTGTATCTAAAGTGATTTCCTGCTTAGACTCTTCTATAGCTTGTGGTCCAATCAACATACCTGTTGTAGTCTTGCAGAAGTGTTCTCCGGAGCTGTCATCTATCCTTTCAAAACTATTTAACAAGTGCTTATCAGAGTCTTGTTTTCCAGCCTGCTGGAAAGCAGCATCTGTTATCGCTATTTTTAAAAATTCTGGAGAGCGATCTGATTCGTCTAACTACCGTCCCATTAGTCTTCTTCTTATCATAAGCAAGGTTTTTGAATCTTTAATTAACAAACACTTAATCTCTCATCTCGAATCTCATAACCTACTTTCTGATCATCAATATGGATTTCGATCTTCTCGTTCTATAGCTGATTTGCTAACAGTAATAACCGATAAGTTTTATTGCGCATTGGATAAAGGTGGAGAGGTTAAGGCCATCACTCTTGACATTTTTAAGGCGTTTGATAAAGTTTAGCATGCTGGTCTTCTCCATAAGCTTTCTTCTTACGGTGTATCTGGAAACATCTTTAAGATTATCAAATCCTTCCTTTCCAATTGTAGTATAAAAGTTGTCCTTGATGGACAGCACTCTTCTTCTTATTCTGTAACCTCAAGGGTTCCATAAGGTTCTATCCTTGGCCCTATACTCTTGTTAATTTACATTAACGATCTTCCAGATTTTCTCACATCTAAGGTGGCATTGTTCGCTGATGATACTACCATTTATTCTTGTCATGATAAGAAGCCAACTCTCTCTCATGGCTTGGAGGGGCCATTTGAGCTTGAAAAGGATCTCACTTCTGCTACAGCATGGGGCTCACAGTGGCTGGTGAACTTTAATTCAGATAAAACTCAATTTTTTTCAGACAATTGTTATCGCAATAATTTAGACCTTCCTATATTTATGAACGGTAATGTACTTGATGAGTCTCCTCCCTTCATCTTCTAGGATTAACTCTTACTTCTGATCTTTCTAGGAAACCTTATATCAAATTCGTTGCAAAATTAGCATCTGCTAAAGTCGCTTCTCTTTATCGAGCTCGTCACTTTCTTACTCTAGATTCTATTCTCTATCTCTATAAATCTCAAATCCGGCCTTGTATGGAATACTGTTGCCATATCTGGGTGGATCTTCTAATGATGCCCTTTCTCATTTAGACAAGGTGCAAAAACGCATTGTAAACATAGTTGAACCTTCTCTTGCAGCCAACCTTCAACCTCTGTCACATTGTCGTAATGTTGCTTCTCTTTCTCTTTTCTACAAATACTATAATGGGAACTGCTCTAAAGAGCTAGCGTCTCTTGTGCCATCTACAAAAATTCATTCTCATGTTACTCGTCATTCAACTAAGTCTCATCCTTTTTCTGTTACTGTTCCTAAGTGCTCCAAAAACTCTTATTCGTCTAGTTTTTTTCCTCGAACATCAGTTCGAGGAAAAAACCGATTCATATGATTTGCAATCTTTTAAGTCTTCTGTTAATCGTTATCTTGCTCTACAATCTTCATCTTTTCTCTTCCAGTAATTTCCAACACTAATTAGTGGTTGCTTGCAGCCTTGTTGGAAGCGAAGTTGTTAAAAAATAAAAAATAAAAAAAATTTATGTTTCGTGTGGAATGATGTCTTTAAAAGACTTTGAATCCATTTGTTTTGATTTCTTTATTTTCCATACCAAAAGTTTGAGTTAACCTAAGGAATTTGTTGAAAGGGGACAAAAAAATGGTTTGACTTGACAAAGTTCGAGTTATCTAAGGTTCAGTTAAACGATTTTAATGGTCCAAATGAAATATTTCTTGATAACGAAAATTCAAGTTAACTGGTGTTTGTCTTACCAGTACGTTAAATGTTTTGTTGAAGTATCAGAAGATAATAATTAACCCAAAGAACATAAGAAAGTAAAAAAACATAAGATGTTCGCTGTAAGCAATCATGCAAAGTTTTGTAAAACCCACTAACTATTTCATGAACCATTTGTTATATCAAATGGAAGAGAAATAACTGAAAAGGGTTGTCACTAAGACTTTTATTTTGTTATAATGTGTGGAAAGGAAATTGTGAAAAGGCAAAAAGGTTTGAAGTTGCTTACTTCATTCCAAGAACAAAATATACAATATAAAAATACTCTGTATACAAAAAAACCCAGAGATAATAATGCTTAAGAAAATGCACAGTACTGTAATGAAAGACTCATATTGCTTCAAAGTAAAATGTGCCGAATTTTTACACTTTATTAGCAAAACCTTTTGGTCAATGTAATGTATCTGCAGGTAGTGTGGTATAACTTATTTTGACCCTAAACCTGTGGAATATTTGAAGTTCAAATGAAAACAATATTCATAGGTGTTAGAATTCAGTGCTTTCAAAGAAGGAATCAAATTTGATGTTGATAGATTTCAGCCCAAGAAGTTAATCTATACTAGATGGAAAAGGGAATATGTTTCTGAGCAGAAAACTTTATTTTTAGGCGATATCTGATTTATATTTTGATATTTGTAAACTTGACATTTAAAAATGTTCATTTAGACTAATATATTATTATAACATTCTTTTATAATGTGAAAATAATGTGACTTTCCTTATTATTTTAAGTAAAAATTAAAACAATATTGATAATATATTTTTGTTGAAAGACAAAAATAATATACCTATTTTCTGCAAAAAATGTGTGCATATGAAAACTTTAGTGAAATTTAGCAGGTATATATAGAGTCTATTTATAATTTTAGTGAAATTTAGCAGGTATTTAGAAACTATATATAAAAATTTCAGTTAGGTTTGATAAAAATGTATGCATAGCTTTGATATAAATGCAATAAGCAAATACAAAAGTTTCGAAAGCAAATAAACTCAATGTAAATCTGAATGACAAGGAAATAAAATCAACAAAGTAACTAATAAATTGAAGTAATACATAAACTGAAAGCAAATAATCTAAATTGAAATAAAAAATACTACATTGAATTATCTAATTCTTTTTTCTCTAGTTTGATATGATACATAATATAATACATTAATCTTAACTAGATTAACATTAACTATGAAAAACATGACACAGAAGTGGATCGTTTAAGATCGTGTAAAACTCATATATGCACACCTAGTATAAGTAAACTCATATACTTTTTTACTTTTTTTGTGTGTTCCTAAAACTAAAGTAAACTCATATACAGTACTTTTTTACTTTTTTCGTGTGTTCCTAAAACTAAAGTAAACTTATATACAGTACTTTTTTACTTTTTTCGTGTTTTTCTAAAACTAAAATAAACTTATATACAGTACTTTTTTACTTATTTCGTGTGTTTCTAAAACTAAAGTAAACTTATATACAGTACTTTTTTACTTTTTTCGTGTGTTCCTAAAACTAAAGTAAACTTATATACAGTACTTTTTTACTTTTTTCGTGTGTTTCTAAAACTAAAGTAAACTTATATACAGTACTTTTTTACTTTTTTCGTTTGTTCCTAAAACTAAAGTAAACTCATATACAGTACTTTTTTACTTTTTTCGTGTGTTTCTAAAACTAAAATAAACTTATATACAGTACTTTTTCACTTATTTTTGTATGTTTTTTTTTAACTAAAGTAGTATTTATATATGACTATACTTTTAAAAAAGGTTTTTTGTCCTCTGTTTATTTTTTGAAATTTTTCATTCAAAAACATTTTAAAAAATTAAATTTTTTTATTTTTTATTTTTTAGAGTCGATTGTACCTCAACTCTTATATGCTCTTTGCGTTGGAAATGAGCAAGTTGAAACTAGGTTGGGGCAGAAACAAGCATTAGCAAAACAATTTGCAGAAGTTTTAAATTTTACGTTAAATTTTGATGATCTTAAAGTAAACATTTTTGTCTTATTTTTTAAATTGTATTTTATTTTTTCAATGGTTATAAATATGAGGTTTTTTTAGATGACAAATCCAAATATCCAAAATGATTTTAGTTACTATAGAAGAACACTTAGTCGAAAGCGAATGGCAATTGATGTATGTTTCTATTTTTTTTATTTTTTTTTTGTTTAAAATAAATTTTCAAATATGTGTTGCTTTTTTTTGTCCGTACAATTTAAAATTTGACTTTGATGTTGTTGTTTTAACATAATATACCAAAACGAAAAAATAAAAATGTAAAAAAGATGATTAAAAGTTACAGAATACAAAAGTATATCTTTTTAACATAGAGCATAACAACTAGGTATGTACTTAGAATATGTTTAAATTAAGTTACAGATGCAACAATGACAGTAATAATAAGCTTATGTTTCATTGTAAAGGAAATAATTTTATAATGTGCAACTTAAAGGTTTTTTAAAATAAAAGGAATGATAAAATTTTGAACAAATCTGCTGTATATATAGCAAAAGTTTGGTAACAATTTGTCAATTTTACAAGAATAATATAAAAATTGTTAGCCAAAAATGTGTATGCCTTTTAAAATGTTTATAATTTTTAAGATCAATACCTAATATGTTTGATGCAATAAAAAGCACTCTAAATAAGAAATATACTGAACTGACAGCAAAAAAACTTGTAAATTATGTAACAAACTCTCAAAATAATAAAAATGAACGCAGTGGTTGCATCTGTCTAAAATAAGCAATAAATGCAAATTAAAATCAATGTTCTTAGTTTTAACACTCTTTTAACACTACTTTTTTTTTCAAAAAAAATTTAGCACAAACTGGATTAAGGCATTATTTTTTTCAAAGTATATGTAGACTTGTCAGCCATCAGTAAATCAGTAAAAAAAAAAAACATAACCCGCTCGCTAGTACAAGTGGCTAGATACAAGCCAGCTAGCCACTTGTAAAACCAGCAGTAGCTGGCTAATATAGCATCAAGCTGTCCAACTGGATATAATCCAATTATTATATTTATTGAATTTATATCATAACTTAACTTAATTGTTTGTTGTTGGTATAAAAATAATCATGTTCATATTAGTTGGGTCCAGTAATGCTTCCACAAACCTCAGTTGTTTGGTGCAAACTTTTTATTTTCTTGCAACTTAAAAACAAAGTAATTTATATATCATCTATTTGTTTATCACTGTCTGATATTTCATGTGTTATACAAGTCAGTTATAGCTACTTACTGGAAAAAAATTATTTTTATTTTGTACATCTAATATTAAAGAATATTAGACAATTAACCATTGTTATGTGGTGTGTAGTTATAAATATTTTTTGTAGTTTTAATAAATGCGTACTTCAAAATCAGTATAGTTCTTAAATTTTTAAATATGTTTTAAAAAATATTTTAATTAATATTTATAATTAATTAATATTAATATTTAAATAATATGTGGTAATAATATGAGGTTTATTAGCTTAAATTTATTTAGGACATAGGTGGAGATGATCAAGCTGAAGTTTCCACAGAAATGGCAAATCGAATGTCACTTTTTTATGCTCATCCTACGCCATTATTAAAAACATTAAGTGATGCCACCACAAAGTTTGTTTCAGAGGTTTAAAATGAACTTCATTTGTTTTTTAACAGTTTGTTTTAATTAAATGTGTCAACTTTGTTTTAAATTTTAGAACAAAAATCTGCCTATTGAAAACACCACTGACATGCTTAGTACACTTTCTTCACTTTGCAGGGTAATGGTTGAAAACGCGTAAGTGACTATAATTATCTTTAATTAATTAAACTATAACAGGGTGGCTACTACTCCTGGGTGCTCCTGGATTTAATGTTTTGAAACTTTAAAAACTACACATGCAATGTTTAGTAGTTTACATTTAACCCACCAAATTCTAATGGGCATGTAAAAACAGTTTCCTATAAAACTTTTAAAAAACAAATTCTAAAAATATCTTTTTTGTTTAAAAAGTTTGGTGACCAATCTATATTACTATTAAAAAGTTTGATGTTTTTAATAAATCTTAATTCATATATAAAGTTCATATGTAATTATATACATGCCCTTTTTTTCAATTGGGAGGTGAATATAGATATAAAAAATGGTTAAATATTCAACCTGGAGCTTATTGGTTACATTTATATATTTTCTGCATTTATGTTGGTCAATTTACTATGATGAAAAGTTTATTATATTTGATTATGGAAAAATGAAATAATATGATAATAATGATAAATATAATAATAAAACTACATGTTTTGATGCTAAATAAACAATTAAAATTTTTTTGTGGTTCTGCTCTTGGTTTAATTATCAAGTCAAATCAAACCCTGCTAAAAGGAATTTGATTTGATAATTAATAAGAGTTAGATTTAATTAGAGATTTGTAGAAATTCTTTATCAAACTGTATCCTATATAACTGTATTTTTTTTTTCTTCCATGTTAGTTATTAATTTCAGTAAAATTCTGTTTACCCTTAAGTTATTATGATATTAAATATTTTCCATAATTTGATTCTGTGGCATGGAACTTTGTTAGAAAACACGTTTTTCAGTTGTTCATGCATACTTCTAATTTATGCATACAGTTATTGACTGGTTTTTTTCTGTAATATCTGAACATTCTGTTTATTCACATGGTTTTTTTGTTTTTGTTTTTTGTAGTGAAATAGCGCAGAAATTTGAAAATGAAGAAACTAAATTTTTTGTTCTCAGTGTAATGGTGAGATTCTCCTTGTCCTTTTTTAATGTTTACATTAATTTCTTTCTTATTTTTATTTTTATTATTGTTATATAAGCTAGAATAATTATTTAAATTAAGTAAAGTTATTTCTAGAAAACAAATAAAACAAGTAGTATAAACAAAACTTATAAACATGTTTTTAAAAAATTTTAAAAAATATAGTCTTTTAAAATATTTATAAATATCTTTTAAAATATAACAAGTTATTAGTCAAGTTTTCTAAGAAAACAAGTTATTCAAAATTACATATAACATAATAAAGAGGATGCAAAGGTTATAAAAGTTACACATAACATGATAAATAGACTGCAAATATTATAAAAGTTACACATAACATGATAAATAGGCTGCAAATATTATCAAAGTTACACATAACATGATAAATAGACTGCAAATATTATCAAAGTTACACATAACATGATAATAACATAACATATTAAAAAGATTTGATTCTACTTTTTATACTATCAAAATTCATAATGGTGCCATAATTTATAAGAAATATAAACATTCGTCATTTTAGTAAGTAGTAAAAACTATAATATTTAAAAATTTATTTGCAAAATATGAAATTACCATACTCAATGTAAACTGTTAAAAGTTTAAATTTTGAAATTTATATTAGTTATGTCTATTTATAAATTTTTTATAAATTTTTAATAAAAAACATTAAAATTAACGACAAAAAAAAGTTAATTTGATTTGGTTAAAATAATTAGATGAAAGAGAAATTTATGTAGGTTTTTGTTTTATTTAAATGGCTTTAAGTAACTAAATAAAATATTTTATAATAAAATTTATACATTTGTTTAAATTACAAACTTTTTTAACACAGGCCTCCAGGGCTTAAGGAAAACACCCCCATCAACTTTGAATTCGATAGTATAGCACATATTGCATGTGTAGTGCTTTTTTACGCAATTTGTTTATTGATAAACAATTTGTTAAAGCCAATAGTTTTTTTTTATAGAGGTTTTTAATTAAGTGAATAAAAGAGTGAATTGCTTTTAATTGCATTTTTGAAATAGTTGCTCAACTTTACATGAATAAATGTTTTTGCACGAAAGCTTTTACTCATGAGCAGTTGCTAACATATGAGGAAAACACATGAAAAAGCTTCAAAAAGGCAAACAATTGCTTCTAATTTTATGAGCACCTATCATAGTTGCTTTTAATTTTATGAGCACATAGTTGCTTTTTATTTTATTTGATAATCAGATGTTTAATTTATTATTTTACTATTTTTGTATTTATTTTTGGCTATTTATGTATATAAATATATCTGTGTGTACCGTATCTGGCATCAATTTAGGGCTCGACATGGTTGTCTAGAATTGGAATGTTCTTATTGGTGATGACTTTCTGGCCAGATTTGATAAAAACTAGAGGCATTTTGAGACCATTAGAAAAAACCAAGTCAAACATCATAACTGAAGCCAGATATTAGGTCTTGAATGTATACTTTGCATGCTCTGGAACTGTTTGGACTGGTTGATGACTAATAAAATGATTGGTTCTACTGTTTGACACAGAATCAACAGTAAAGATTTTTTTATTTGAGAAGAGGGTGGTTGTTGGTCTCTTCTTCAAGAGGCTCAATGGGTAAACCAGATATTTTTTAATCCTGGCTCTTGACTTTGTTTTAAGATCCTGTTTGACCACATTTCTGATGGTGTGCTCACTCACTGAGAGATCTTTAGCTATTTTCCTCATCGACATTGAATTCTGAGAAATTCTGCCCTTGACAGCCTTGATCAATTGAGGAGTTCAAATTGACTTCTTTAATCCACTGCCAAGCTTCCTCTTAACATGGCCAGACATTTAAAAATGTTTAATCACAGTGAAGACAGTACTTAGAGGCTTATATATATATATATATGTATATATATATATATATATATATATATAACATGTGATTCGAAAGTTATCGGACAAATCTGAATTTAATTATTTGAGCATAATAACTTTTTTTGTGGTTTTATACGTTGGCATAAACGTTCTATAAAATATAAACTTTATTATTTGAAACAAAATTATTTAAAATGAGGTTAAATGCAGCTGAACGAGAATCTTTTCAAAAGTGACTCAAAATGTTTTTTGGAAATAAACCTAATAATAAAAAAAAGAAATCGTAAATCATTTTAAAAAGAAAGATTTGCTCAAAGTATAATTTATGATAACCTAAAAAAAATTGAAACTGTTCAATCCTTTTCTGATAGAAAGCACCCTGGTCGTCCAACAACCTGGAATAGAGAAAAGAAAGCCAAATTAACGAGACTTGTCAACAATCAAAAAGGGGTCAATCAGAGAAAAATAGGTTTTAAATTCAGTGTAAATTTGACAATTGTCAATTGAAAATTAGTCATCAGTTAAAAAAAAAAGAATATTAAATATAGAAAACGTGAAAAGACTCCAAAATACACTATAGAACAACAATTTAAGGCAAAAAAAAGAAGTAGGAAACTAGTTAACCAACTCAGTAACACAAAATTCCTTCTGGTCATCTATGAAAAAAAAATACTTTTGTTTTGCAGGAGACAACATGCCTGGAAATTTTAGATACTACACAAACAACCAAAAAAACACACCCAAAAAGTGTTTATAATAGGTTCATTTTTTTGTTTGTTTTATTGGAATAGAGAAATTCCAAAAAAAAATTACCATGACTTATGATATGTCCGAGCCATTGTTTTACACTTCCAAGGCTGTAGCAATTAATTCATTGATCTATATTGATGAATGTTTAGAAAAACAAATTTTTCCATTCATTCACAAGTATCATGGAAACTTTAAATTTTTATTTTGGCCAGATTTCGCAAGTTCTCATTATTCTGAAGATTCTCTAAATTGGATGGATCAATATGTCTATTACGTTGATAAAGAATCCAATCCTCCCAAATGTGCCTCAAGCACGACCAATTAAAAATTTTTGGGGACATTTGGCACAGAAGGTTTATGAGGGAGATTAGCAAGCTTCAACAGAGCAAGGTTTGATTGATTGAATTATATTAAAACTACAAGAAATGTATATATTATAATTAAAAATGCATTTTTAGATAACATCTTTAATATCACATTGAAATAGTCTGCTGCCAGGGGTTTCAGTACATACATTGACTATCTTATAGCCTGCTGGTTTCAGTACATACATTGACTGTCTTATATCCTGCTGTCGCAAGGGAGTGCCGCCTTATTGACTGAGGGTTTGACATGAGAAAGGCAATCTTTTCCTTTGTTATTATTTGTTTATTTACTTCTTTTTTTGTAAAAGCTGTCATGTAATAAAAAAAGGGTAATAATTTGTTACATAAATATGCTATAGTAGATTTTTTAGTAATATAATTTAGTATGTATATTTCTTTTAGTATAGGTTTCTTGTTGTAATTAAAATTGCAGTTTTATGTTGACAAATGGATTGCATTTATAATTAATGGTTAATTAAAGGATATTTGTAAATATATCACATTTGTAAAAATTGTACAATACATTTGCATAATGTATTCAGATACACAATCAAGGTATTAGGTATAGTGAACAGTAATACACAAACATGGTTTTTATTTGTTTTTTTGAGAATATTAAAAATATTACCAAAATAAAATAATGCTTGACTTTATTGAAGAAAGATTTGTACTTTGCATAAATCTCTTTTACTTTTAACCAAAGCAATTGCTTGTGAGCAAAAGCAAAACTTTATTCTCATATTTTTGAGTGATTGCTTTTGCAGTGAGCTTTTGTTTTTAGCGTTTTGTTTTACTTAGATTAATTGCTTGTGGGCAATTGCTTTTTTTTTTTTAATCACCCAGCCTAATGTTTAATTTTTTTTTTCTTATATGTAAAAGCGTTAAGCTATAGATGTTTGTTCAATTTTTTTTTTTAACATTTTTTAAGGTTGGGATGATTATTCTCTATGACCATGTCCACCCTGTTGGAGCTTTCGCAAAATCGTCTGCTATAGATGTATGTTCATTTACCATAATAATTCATTTTTTAAATTATTTTTTTTTGTTATTTAACAGAAAACTTTTTTTTAGATGAAAGCTTCAATTAAACTTCTGAAGGAACAACCACATGGATCAGTTGATGCCTTTTTTAATGCCCTAAGGTAAACCACTCAATCAACAATTTAAGTACTTTCTTTTAAATGAAGTTCCCAATTAAATGCTTTTACTTTTCTGTAGAAAGTGATGAAAACTTTGTAAGACGTTTTAAATTACAAAATCTTTTCTGTTATTTTTTAATGATGTAAATTGATTTTTTTTTTTTTTTTTTTTTTTTTTTTTTTTTTTTTGACTTTCCACCACCTGGGAAAAACAGAAAAGTTTAATATTGCTATATAAATCAGTCTTTTTGAATATGTAAACTGTTTGAATCTCTTGACTGTTTTAGATATTTAATTACCAAAAACAAATTAAATTTTGCCAGTAGGGTCAGTGGTGTTAGAGCTAAGCCATCCATGTAATGGGCATCAAAGTCACTAATAACAACAATATTAGCTGATGATTGAGAAGAAAAGCCTCAGTCAACGTGATCAAAATAAGGTCAAAAGAGTGCATAAAAAAATAGACCAGATAACCCAAATATCAGGTGAATGTTATAAGTCAGAGTTAACTTATTTAGAATTGGTCTCATAAAGCAAGTTTTATGACGGCAGAACATTTGGCAAGTTGTACTTGAATTAAATGTTATTAGTAACAGGGTGATCTTGACTTAAGAGCATAAATAGACTATGGTTAACCTATCAAACTAAAAATTAAATTTCTGTGGCTGCTAATGAAGTAATCATTTTGTTCACAAAGTCCAATTTACTTTTTTTTTTTATCTTTGAGTTTGAATATTAAGTGTTAACACATAGTCCGGCTCTCCATATTATATTAAGCTCTAAGCGAAATATTTTTTTTAGGATACTTATTGCTTTGCAAATTTTCATAATTCATTTTTAAAATGGAAGATTACTTGAGTATAAAAAGTGATAAAGAATGATTTGAGTCAATGTTTTACTGTCTAATTATGTCTTAGTATTAGATATAGTATACTGCCTAATAATGTCTTATTATTAGATATAGTATACTGCCTAATTATGTATTGCACTAAAATAAATTTTTCCGTTTATTTCAATATAGTGGAATAAATAATCTAATATAAGATATGTTATAACGTATTCAAAATAATCGGTGATTTGTGAATGATTGAAATTACTGAATTTTAGCTGTAGTAGCTTATAATAAAATCAGATTTGAAGACCACACGGGTAAAACCACAAATGTCCACTTTTTGAAAATTTCAAATTTTATATATTTTTATGATATTTTAGTACTAAGTTATTTTAATTTAAAAATTCATAACAAAAAAACTATGTTTTAAGGTTCTATGGTCATTTAAAAAAAAAAGACAACTTCAAAACAACCACTGTTGTCCAATGCTTACCGCGTAAAAAACACAGTTGTCCAAGTAATTTATAACTAAACCAATGATAATAAAAGCGTAAGTCACATGACTGACATTTGGATGAAGTAAACAACATTACGTTCACAGAAAAACATTAAAAAAAAAACATTATATATATATATATATATATATATATATATATATATATATATATATATATATATATATATATATATATATAAATAAAATAGGTTTTTTTTTATAATGACAAAAATTTTCTCTTGAATTATTTCAATTTTTATTTTAATTCATAAGGTGTACTTTATGAATTTTTGTATCCTAAAAAAGTAAAAAATGGACTCAATAATATTCTGATCTTTTTAATTGTTAAGTAATTTGCGTAGATTTCAAAAGAAAAAATTATCTAAACGTTTGAAACCAATATGTTTATTATTCCAGGCAATATCTGTTTTATTTTTTTAACACTAATATACTTTCAATTCAAAAACTATATTTTTATTGCTATGATAAAACTGTTGGAAACAGATGGTCTGATGTTGTATGTTCTATGCTATTGATTTTAAACTCAAATGTGTAAAGGGTATGAAATTGATTTGCAGTTTATGTGTTAGGCAAAATACAAGATAAAAATTTTTAATTTAATTTTATTATCTAGTTTATAAAACTGAAAAACTTGACAGCATTACTGTTTCATTACCAATTAGAACTCTGTCACATTATGTATAGGCATTACACCTCTAAAAAATGCAACAGAGACATTGGCCATTGCAAATTAAAGTTTCTTGCTGAAACGCTAGACGATCTCACAAAAAAACATAGCAGTTCAATATTGTATATAAACATGGTACAAGAAAAGCTTTTAAAATTGCAGAGTTTCAAAGCCAAACTTCTTGGTTTGTTCATTTAAAACATGTTTACTTAGAGAAATTGAAATATTAAAGGTTAATATTAAAGTTTAATTATATGGAAAAATGGAAATATTTCATTTTATGTGTTACATCCCATATGATTTGATCAAAGATTGAAGTGCCTTATAAACTGAAACAAATATACATAGCTCTGTTGCCTTTTTTTGTTACAAATTCAAAGACTTACTTAAGCTAAACAATAAATGGAAAAAATAAGACATTTGATATTATTTTATCTTTTTTTTTTAGATTTATTTTATTTTTCATTGAAATTTTTTTTCAAAGTTGTATTCACAATTGGTTTTTGTATGCTTTATACAAACTTGACATAAAGTGATGGAACACAGACATCATGGAATCATCTGTGGTAAATAGATGAGGTTGGGGAAGAGATAAAGTTGCAATGCTATTTTGTATAAAGTTAAAAAAAACTTTCATATAATGTTTTGTTTGAATTTTTTTTTGTTAAAAGAGGGGGAGGGGGATGGCTTTATTATCCCAACACACTTAGTACGTTGTAGTTGTATATTACAATGTGTTACCATCTACCTTTAAAAAAATCTAAGGTTACAAGCTAAAGTAATTTATGAGTTGATGAGTTTACAACAGAAAAACCACAGATGTCTAAAATGAGTGCTTTTAAAAGAACAATGTGAATAAATAATACTTGTATTTAGCACAAAAACTGCGTTTTTATATTGTATAATAACTAAAATATACTTTTAATTAAATAGATTATTAATAAACACATATCTAATGTCACTAAACACTAAATTTCATTTTTCTTAAAATGAGAAAAATGTGACATCTGTGGTTTTACTCGTGTGGTCTACATTTAGAATAATATGTACATATATAAGATAAATTTCCCTTTCATTTACAAAATTAATTTTAATTAAAATAATTCTGATATAAGATTTATTTTTATTCTTGCAATTTTTTTTTAGATATACTACTAAACACCTGAACGACGATTCAACACCAAAACATATTCGCATGTTATTGGCATAATTTTTATTATATTTTTGCCAAACAATGTGCTAACAACGCTTTATTTTCAAATAATGTGCTGATAACGCTTTATTTTCAAATAATGTGCTGACAACGCATATTCATGATCGTGTATTAGCATTGTAAATAAAAATTCTTAGTTAGCTAATGTAAGAAAATGTGTAGATAATTATAATGGAAAATTTTTAATGATACTTGTCTGTTTTACTTTACATAAGTTGCAAATGTTTATAAAATAATGTGGCGAATAAGCACTGTTTAATAATGTTTATAAAATAATGTGGCGAATAAGCACTGTTTAATAATGTTTATAAAATAATGTGGCGAATAAGCACTGTTTATACAACAATCTTGGCAAGTGTTTATAACTAAATAAAAAAACTCTAAAAAAAAAAATTAAAAAACTATTATTATTACCATATTTGACGTTAAATTTAATGAGGAATGTAGTAAAACAGGTTAATATGAAATAGTTATGACAAATGTTTATTCTTTTGCTCTTAATTAATTATTGGATAATCTTTTTGCTAATATTTTTAAATCACGTTGTAGAGAATACTATTCTGAGTAAGATGATATCAAATTTTATTTTTGATGAAAAAAAGTTTGTTTTAGTAAGCGTAATACGATTTTTTCTATTATTTTGAAAAATGAACTTAAAACACTCGGAAGTTAAATTTGATATTATTGAACTTATAAAGTTTTCTGGTATAACATTATGCTGATCAAGAATCTTTTTTCAAAAGTAAATTTGCCATTTAAAAAAAAATTAGAGTAAAAAACGGAAAAGGAGAAATGTGGGGTTGAATGGAATACGCTAATAATAAGTGAAGAAAAAAAAGTGAAAAACCTGAAGAAAAATTATTACTCCCATCTATTCAATACATTTAAAAACGACACAAAACGCACGTGGCAATTAATGAAAGAAATTTTTGGCAAAAAAAAAAAAAAAACATGCTCCGGTTTCCTGCCATAAATGTTGATAACAAAATTTTATGTGAACCGAGAACTATAGCTCAAGAATTTAACAAATAATTAGGACCAACACTGTCTGAAAAATCCCTAAGGCCAAATCTTTGTTTATTGATTATCTAGAACACTGGGATAATTGCATTTGTCCAGATGAATTATCTTCCAAATTAATGTTTGATGACCTAATTCTTTCATTAGATAATATATTGAATTATTATTCGTCGTAAAAGTTAAAAATATATTTTGGTCTACTTTTTTATTGTTTATATACATGTTTACGTTTATAGAAGTTAATTCCTACTTACTTTATTTATTGTTCTTAAACTTTTTAATTTATATGTTAGTTTACTCTTGTATAAAATTCTGATGAAGAGATCCTATTGATCTTTCTTTAGACAAATTATTTATCTTGCAATTTGTAAAAATTAATTATTTTTTTAAATCTTATCCTTGTTAAATGCTTATTAAAGGTTCTGACGACAAGATCCTCGCGATCTTCGTTTAAGTACCTTGTTTATATTTGTTATATTTTCTATTATTATAAGTTTATATTATTATTTTTATAATTGGTTATATAAAGCTGTACAATCGCTTACAAATCGTCGGGGATAGTATAAATATAATATCCAAATATTTTGGGATATTATTAATTTTAACACCAAATATTTATTGTTGTGATTTAAAAGAACATGATTAATACTCTTTTTACTAAAATGAACCCAAAATCATTTAAAATAAAAAATAAATAAAGTTTTAAACTTCTCCAGTAAAAAAATGTACTGTAGATAAGCGGTATTATAAAATGCTAGTTACGCGGTTTTGCACTATCCCCGACGAAATGTAAACCAAGAAGAAAAAATACTTTAGCTCATTCCTTAAATGCGGCTTCTTTTTGTTAAATCTCAAGTGACCAATAAATCTCCAACTATAAATTTTTTTGTATTAAAAAGTTTTTTTTTTTAATGAATTTTTTCTGAATTTAAATAAATAACTAATGCTGACTGCCTTATTAAATGATTCTAATGAATGAAATACGCTAGTTACTCTCTTGTTAAATGCAGTTTTTATTAATTAGTTAATTCTCAAGTGACATAGCTATCTCTATAAACTTTGTGCATAAATTTCAAATGAATTGTTAAATCTATTTTAATATAAAATATGCCTCGAAACAACTTGCATGCAAAGAAAAACTATACACCAAAGAGCAAGTTGCGCTTGCGGTAGTTAAAGTACAAAGTGGGGAATTTTCATTTAAACCTGTTAAATCATTCAGCATACCAGTAGCAACTCTTCACAGGCATGTCCAGGACATAACTGAAACAATTGACCGTGGTTCAAGCACGAGGTTGTAAAAACAACTTAAATTAGTTTTGGTAGATATGCTCATCAAATTGTCCGAACTTACAATAACGTCATCATACTTGTTACCAACTATTTGCAACACCAAGGTCAATCTCATTTGCTTCCTAATGGTACATCAGCAAGAGATTAGTATAAACTTTTCATAAACCGGTGAAGTCATAGGTTGAGCATCAGAGCCATAAGCAATATTTCATCACTCAGAGCCGCTTCTTGCACGCAAGGTATAGTAGCAAAGTATTTCAACACACTTCAAAGAAAATTCAATGTAGCAGGTATCAACAAAAACACTCCATGTCATTTGTGGAATTTTGATGAAATTACTTCTGGTGATCAAGGTAAGCAAAATATAGTTTGTCGGCGCGATGCAAAACGATCATTGAAATTGGTTGTCAACAATGAAAAAATCCATTATACAGTTGGAAATTGCATTAATGCTGCTGGTAATCATCTTGCTCCATACATTATTTTCAAATTAAAAAAACGTCTGTACGGAGATTAGTGTTTAAGTGGTCCAGATGATGCCATATACGCTATATTTCCATCCGGACGGGTGGAAGATAAGCAATTTGTGCAGTGGCTCACTAACGTGTATGTTCCTGCCATTAGGAAAATTCCAGGTAATTAGCTCAATATAATTTTAGTTATTTAATTATATTTATCTAATTTTACATTCACAAAAGATTACATCAATCTAATTATAGTTATCTAATTTTAGGTATTATCAGGTCGTACATATTTGCATCAAAAACAATATCTTGTTACCAGCTCAATTGTCACATATTCTGCAGCCACTAAATGTTGGAGGCTACTTTATTGCCGTGCCAAAAGAGTTTGGCGCAAATTACTTCAACAGTTTTATGCAAAGACATAGTTCAGCAACTTGTCATAATAATGTTTTAGTCGCCTGCAAAAAAAACTTTTCAGCTCTGGTGAAGTTTTTACACGTATCCAAATAGTCACTGGGTTTCTGAATACTGACTTGTTTTCACTCGATATCAATAAAATCGATCAGTCAAAGTTGCAAATTACTAATAAGTTTGAAACACCGTCATCTGAGCCTGAGCCTTCATCATCTCAACAACCAGAATCTATGATTATACCATCACCAATATTAGCACCAGAAACTACACTGGGGAAGTTGGGGCACAGGGGATCGGATTTCTTTATTTTTTAAATTAAGCAAAAGTTAAAATATGTATTTTATTTTTTCATGACGAAAAAAGTGAGATATATGTCCTTTATGATATTAAAAAACCCTAATATTTATTTAACGGCTCACACAAGGGTTTAAAGTGAGTTGTGTTATTTACTGCGCTTCACCATTGGGGCACAGAGAATAATTGAATACAGCCGTGAGCTAATGATAGTAAATAGGGGCATAGCCAAATAACTTTAAGGCTAAGGAAGTAAAAGACACTATACACTACACATTATACTTTTGGCATACTTTTATCAATTAGATTAGTATAAAATTGAAAAAATAAACGTTTTAAAAATTAAGAAGAAAAAAAAAAAAGGAATTTATTGGTTATTGGGCCCAAAACTTATTCAAATATTATTACTCATAACTTAAAACTAATAAATTCAATTTCATGTAGTTTATTTGTTAAAGATGCATGAATTTAATCTTTAAGATCGTTATTGGACCATAGTGAACCAACCTATTCACTGTACCCCACCATAACAAATTAAGTTTAAGTCTAATTTCTTGGAGCATGAGTGTTGTTAAAAGAAATGCTAAACTACTGAAAGAAAGCATAAATATCAGTTATCCGAATGAAAAACTTCAAATTAAGAAATTATTTCAACCATGATCTCCATAACAAACATAAGGACGGTAAGAAAATTAACTTTAGTTAGTTATAAACAAAAAATGCCTACCACAAACCGGTAGTCAAAAATTATGTGGTAACAACTATAATTAAAGATAGCTGATATATGAGCACATAAAATGATTACGTTATAAAGATAGAAAAAATTCTAATCTTTGAGATCTCTCTATTTCACACTACCCCTTGATCCACTGTACCCCAACTTACCTCAGCCACTGCCCTCTAAATCTACACGAACATCTGGCATGTCACATAGCATCAGCTCCAAATTCACCTTAAAAGTCACCCTGTCACCAAAACAACCTTCAATGTTGTGGTAACACTAGCAAAAAAAGGTTGAAAAGCAACTGCAATCAGCCTAATCACTTGCAGCAGTTTTGGAACAAATGTTTCGTATCCAACACGTATATTTGAGAAATAAACGGTGCTATTAAGGGAATCTGCGAAAAGATTTTTTTTGGAGTTTTATACCCAAAAATGCTGAATCTTCTTTGATTTCCTTTTTTTAGGTATTAAAGTATAGAAAAAAATAAAAATATATATAATATTTATTATACTAGAATTTATATTAAGTTTGCATCAATACTATATTAATGTATCAAAGTTATATCAATGTATTTTTATCAATCTGATACGTAATAATTTTATATATATTTTTTCTTTTTATCACGATAATAAATGTATATTTTATATGGTATACCTGGAGAAGAAAAATTAAAAAAAAAAAAAAATAATAATAATAAAAGTAAAAGCGGTTTAGTATAAATGAGAAATAAAATTCCCAGAATTGATCCTTGGGGGACGCCGCAGGTAATTTTTTTTTTTAATTTTTTAATTTTATTTTATTTGCCGTATAATATTATTTACATCAAGATTTATAATATTATACGGACAGGACTTCAAGAAGATCTTATCACGAAGCCCTTAACAAAATTATATTTTCTTCTACAATAAAAATATCTATATATTATATACAATAAATATATACCGAGAATATATAATCACAAAATATATCATAATTTTGACATTACATACTTCAAAAGTGAAACTCAAAATAAAACATAACAAATCATTATGCAGTATAGCAACTGAATTTTTTTTTTTTTTTTAAATCAAAAAAAATCAAAAAAATTTTTTGTTGAAAAAATGGTTTTTTTAATAGATTGTTTGAAAAAAGAATAGGTCAATTTAGATAAAAAAATAAAATTAGGCCGTATTATTTCATTCCAGAGAAAAGGTCCACGATAAGATATACAAAATTGAACTTGTTTATTATTGCAAAAAGGTTTTTCTAAAAAGCTATTATTACGTAGGTTATATTTGTTTTGGGGTTTAATTTTGTAAAGGTTTACAAATACATCGGGGGGACATAAGTTTTTTACATTTGTACATAAAACACAAAACATTAAATACATTTAGTTGATAAACATTTAAAACGTCCATTTCTTTAAAAAGCGGTTCAGAGTTTGAAAAATGATTTTTTAAATTTATTATGCGGGCTGCGTGTTTCTGATGCCGATAAAGAGATTTAAGTTTAGTTTATGTGTACTTCCCCATATAATATTTGCATAATTGATATGACAGTGAATAAAAGAGTAATATAATTGTGTTAATTGCTTTTTGTTTAAAATACCTCTAGATTTGTATAGAATTCTAATGTTTTTTGCAACTTTATTAGAAATATTATTGTGTGACTTCCAAAACAGATTTTCTTCAATAAAAACTCCCAAAAATTTTGTCACTTTTTCTCTTTTTAGAATGACATTGTCTATAAAAAGATTAGGCATATTTACAGGCAGTATCTGTTTTTTATAGTTTGGATGGAAAATTATCCATTTTTTTTTTTCAATATTTAAAGATAGCCTATTTTTTTGAACAAAATTGAAATTTTTTTAAGTTCTCTGTTCATATTATTAAAAAGTAGGTTTATGTTTTCATGTGACTGAATTAAGTTTGTGTCATCTGCAAAAATTATACTCTTTAAACTGGATGCTTTGTTAAGATCATTTATATATATAATGAAACGAAGTGGTCCAAGTATGGATCCTTGTGGGACACCATATGCTAGGCCGGCGCGATAGGGGTGTGTGACCCCCCCCCCCCATCAATGATTTTTAATCGGCAAACTGGACCCTTAGTCGGCAAATTGGACCCTTTAGAATAGTTAGTCGGCAAATGTCGACCCTTTCGATATAGGTTAGACAGTCGGCAAATGTCGTCATGGCAGTCGGCAAATTTTGGAAAACGAGGACTTTTTTTTTCTTTTAAAGTCGGGAAAAGTTGTAATGCCCCCCCCCCCCCACGTGACACCTACTCGCGCCGGCCCTGACCATATTTTATGTTCATTAATGTTTGAGGTTGGGAATCTTTATTAAAAACAAATTGCTTTCGTTTGGAGAGATAACTTTTGAACCAACTTAGCGTTTTACCTGCTATGCCATAACATTCAAGTTTTTTGAGCAAAACATTATGATCGACCGTGTCAAAAGCTTTTGACAAGTCAATGAAAACACCAAGTGTAAATTTTTGATTTTTAAAAGATTCTTTAATATAACGTGTTAATTGAAGAATAGCATGTTCGGTTGAGTTGTTTTTTTAAAAACCGCACTGATTTTCATAAAGAAGCTTATTGGTAATTAGGTATGTGTACACTATTTTTGAAAAAACTAGAAGAACAGAAATAGGTCTGTAATTTTTTATATTGGTCGGGTCTCCTGTTTTAAAAATCGGAATTACTTTTGCTATTTTCAGAGAGTCTGGGAAAGAACCTTGTTTAATGGATGATTTAAAGATTTTGAAGAGAATATCCTTCATGACATCATAAGAGTCTATTACAATATTTCCATTTATACCGTCAGGTCTTACTGATTTATTTCTTTTTAACGATCTAAAAAGTAAGTATTTATTATACAATTTTTGTTTTAGTTTTGAGGACTTTTTTAGTCCCTTAGTTATCCAAGGAGATAATATGTCTTTGCCCTTGAGATTTATTTCACATATTGGAAAACTAGCGTCATAGATTTTGAAGAAAGTTTTAAAAAATGTGTTATAGATGTTTATGTTATCATTAAAGTTTATGTGATTCCAGTCCTGCTGTGAAATTTGATTTTTGAATGATTTTAAGTTACAATTGTTCACAATTCGCTTTTTTATTGTCATTTCATCCTCGTTTTTTATTTAATGTTTTGATTTAATAGCAAAAAATACGGGAAAATGATCTGAAGTTTTTATAATTCCTTTTTTTAGATATTTATTAAAACAGTCTGCGGTTAATATATTATCAATTAAAGTTGACGAATGGTTTGTAATTCTAGTCGGTCTATCTATTATTGGTATAGTTTCAAATAAATTGTTATAAAATGTTTTTATGTTTTGGTTTCCTTTATATTCAAAACAATCCAAATTGAAGTCACCCAAAATATAAATTTTTTTTTTCTTGACTAGTTTTTTCTATTAGATTGTATTTCAAAAATTTACCAAGATTTTCTGTTCTACCAGTTGGTGGCCTATAGCAACAGCTGATTAAAACGTTTTTAGAATTTTTGTTTATTAGTTCAATTGTTAAGATCTCTTGATCCGTATCAGAAACACTCGTATCGCTTCTAACTTTATAGAAAATATTTTCTTCAAATAAAAAAGTACTCCTCCTCCTCGCCTATTATTATTTCGTTTTAACAAAATTTCTTTAAAACCTGGGAGAAGGAGATTAGAATTTGATTCAAAATCTATTTTAGAACACCAAGTTTCGGTTACACAAATTACGTTAAAACAATCGTTCGTGTCGTCAATTAAATTTAAAAAAATTTCAAAATTCTTTTTTAAACTTCTAATATTCACATGAATAACATTAAAATAATCAATTTTATCATCCACTCCTATAAAGTTACAAACTTCATTTGGTTGAAAATAAGAGCATACTAATTCAGGTAAATTAATTTTCTTAAAGTAATTTATATCTGGATCGGAATCGTCATCCGATTTAAAATCATTAATTTGAAAAAATTTAAAAGCATTTTCAAAATAATTATTATTTTTCGAATTCATTTTTTATTGTTATTTACTTTTTTTATTCTGTTATAAATAACCGTGGATTTAATTTGTTTTAAGACGGCTTAGTGATTATTTTATTGTACACAACTTTAGCTAATTTACTTGATTCTCGTAGATCTTTAGCTTGGCGGAAAAGTTGTTTTCGAATACTAGTTGTCCGCTCCCTGAAATCTTCGTTTATATACATGTTTTCTTTCCACAGTTTCTTTTTTTTGTATTTTTCGAGAATGTTTTCACGATCTTTAAAATTGAGAAACTTGACAACAATAGTTCGCTTTCTACGTTTACCTTCTTCGTGTTCTTTTCTTCCAGTACGATGCGCTCTTTCAATTTGTATACCTTCTTTAATAACAAGTTTTCTGGACATTATAAAAGGTATCTCTCAGTAGATTCTTAATTAATACTTCGCTTTTCTCCCATGTTTCGCCTTCGGTTTCCTCAATACCCTCAAATCGCAAGTTATTTCTCCTACTTCGGTCTTCTAACTCAGCAATTTTATTTTTTAAGGCCGTTTTCCACAAGACGAAATATTCGCGCGAAGCGAATTTTTTCGTCGATAAGCATGCGCAGATAAAACATTTCTAGCAATTATTGCGAGAAATGTTTTATCTGCGCATGCTTATCGACGAAAAAATTCGCTTCGCGCGAATATTTCGTCTTGTGGAAAACGGCCTTTAGTGCTTCATTTTCTTCGTTTAAATATTTTTGATTTAGTTGACTGTATCCATTTTTCTTTGTTATAATTTAATGTTTCGTTTATTGTTTCGTATTGTTCACTAACAAACTCGATAGTTTTATTTGTTTCATTAAGTTCACGTTTTAATTTTTTGTTTTCCTTTATAATAATCAGTTTGCTTTCTAATTTTTGTATACGATCATTAAAGATTTTTATTATTCTATTTTAATGCATTTCTAATAAATCCTTTACTTCATTTAATGAGAATTTGTTTGCCATTATTTAAAAGTAAGTTTATTATAAAGATTTCAAAGATTTAAATGGATGTAAATGAGAACGTTCGCAAAACTAAATTTCCACAGCCGCCATGTTTGCAAAAAAAAGGTAATCATCATTAAACCCGTTTTTTCATCACCATATAAGTACTTTGCTTCCTATTTGTTAAATAACTCTTAAACCAGTTAAAATTTAAAATACCATAATTTTCAAGTTTAGTGGAAATAAGATTTTACTTACATTTCTTAAAGATTTTTCTAATTATAAGAATATTGTCCCAATATTTTTAATAGAGACTATTTTATTCCTCTCTAAACTTAATTAGCTATTTATTTTATCCATCTCTAAAATCAGATATCTTGATTTTTCATTTGCAAGTTTTGCAACTTAATGAAAAGAACTTATTTTAAAACCAAGGTTGATTTACCTTTATTTTTAATGGTACAGACCTATCAAATAATTGTGGAAATGACGTTATTAACAGGATGTGCGTGACGCAGAAGTACGGAGTTAATTTTAATAACCTGTATGCCATACACATTTTATTATATTCTAATATATATTTATACATACAGTTTATTATATTCTAATATAATAAAAATGTATAGTTATTTATAACAGAAAATACATCTTATTAAATAAGTACCAAGGTAAAGAAAAACAAATAAGGTTTTTTATTGTATAGAAGCAAGAAGTCGTGTCAAGTCTGTAATAATAGCACATTGACTCAAATGTTTATAAAACGGTTTAACGCATTTAATAGTTTTAATTTAGCACATTCATTATGCACACAGAAAATAACTTGACAATAAATAATATTTTAGAGCAATATCCAGCCGTATATATACCAGATGAAGTCTAATCCAGTATAACTCATATAATATATACGAACACACGCAAATTTGAAGAAATTAAATAAAACTTAAGAAAAAAAAGTATTATAGAAATATTTATTTTCGTTTTTCGTGTTTTTTCTTTGGCGCACATGCAAGAAAAAGAACAATCAAAGAAAAGCAAACCCCAACACTTAATACAACAAGACTGTGAGTGCTTGGAAGACGTTTTAATTTATACGACATCTAAAAACAAAAATAATTTGTTTGCATCATTATACGTCAGAGGTCATCCATAAAGGACATTCAGAATTTAAATACTAACCCGAAGTAGAAGTTTATTAGCTCCCTTCTGCGGAGATTTTCATTAAACATAAGGCTCTAAAAATCACTGCGCAAGAGAGCCAACATGCTCCTACTTTTTGTTATTAGTTAAACTTAGCGTGACGTCCTTTATGGATCACCCCTCACTTACTGTAAATGTTACTATCATCAAAATCCTAGGTAAGTTAAAAGAATTCATACTTTTAACTCTTCAATAAAATCTTCTTGCCAGACATCGCTAGAAACAAACAAATAATAATAAAAAATACAATCAAAAATGGTAATAACGAACTACTATTTGTTTTAACCTCAACTTTGTAAACAATCGTACAGCTAAAATCACACATCATACACTTTTTTTTGGGAAAGGGGAAAATTAAGTTCCTATTCAATCTTTAAAAATACTTTCCTTTCTTAAATATCAATTTAAAGTGATTTGAAACTTACAACCAGTCCAATGGTTTTGCAACTGTTTTATATTTATCAGAAAGATGTCCTTTTTCTATGTAATCACTAATACTAGATGCTGTTTCCTTGCCTTTGTATGTCCATTGGTAACCCCGGCGAAACCTTAATATATGAAAACCAGTCAATATAACTGATAATAAAGTCTCTCGCTGAAATATTTGCTTAAGTGAAACTTAATTAAAAAATAGACATGATTACAAAGCAGATATTATAACATTAAACTCACAGCATAATGGTTGGTTTATTTACTTGGAATCTTCGAAGCGTAACTAAAATCAAATGATAACATTTAAAAAGAAATATGACATTTAAAATTATATAAAAGCTGAAATAACACCTTGATGTGTTTTTGAACCTTACCCTAGTTATTGTTGCAATTATTAATGAGTTTAATTAAAAATTGCAAACATTACTTTTAGCATCTGGATTTAACTTTGCGACACTCATTGTTGTTTGATATCTAATCAAAAAATTAAAACATTTAACACTATATAATGTAAGCAATTTAACTTTCTTAAATGTAAAATTTATTACAAATTTAATAAATACAATACAAAAATTTTGAAACAAAAACAAAAAACAAAACACTCTTTTATATTATAAGATCGAAAAATATACTCAATAATAAAATCCTCCCTCATATTATAAGATCATATTATAGATGGATAATGTAGTGTAATGGAATTGGCAATCAAAAAAACGAACACAATAGCCGTGACCTATCGTTTAACTTACAAAAATAAGTTAATAGTTGCACATGTTTGTCTACCAAATTGTTAAAGTGTGGCAAAACCACAAAATTCTGAAACTTTAAAATTTTGATAATGGCTATTTCATCAATTTATAAGTCAGAATACATAGTTTATCTTATATGTCAGAATACATAGTTTCTTATATAAGTCAGAACACATAATTTATCTTATACAATATTAATAATTTACTTCAAATTTAAGATAAATATAAGATTTCTTAAACATATAAACTTTGATTTCTTATTTTAAAGAACTATAAGTTTGTTTTTGTTCCTCTTAAATAACTTAATTTAAAAAGAAACAAAAGACAAGTTAATAGTTGCACATATTTGATGGTATTTAAGTTTGTTTTATAAGCATATTGTGTAAATATATTTGTAGAGAACAAGCATTAACTTTGAGTGATCAAATTTTTTTCCTATCATTCAAAACCATCAACCTGAATCAACTGCTTAAAATTATATATTACTAATAGGGTATCACAGGGTTCCCACTTCTAAAACTGGGACTAAAATTAAGGATTTTAAGAAGATTTAAGGAGATATTTTTCTAATATTTAAGAAGATTCGATCGCAAATGACAATTTTTTGAAGGAAAAAGTAAGGAGAATTAAGGAGAAACATTCATTAAATACGGAATCGTTCTTTTTTCAAAAATTTTTAAATATTTAGATTAACTATTATAAATAAATAAATAAATAAATATATATATATATATATATATATATATATATATATATATATATATATATATATATATATATATATATATATATATATATCTTCTATAATTTTTCTTTTCGCTTCCATTTTCACTGTTTTTTCTACAGACAGGGCTTTTGAATGTTGATCATCAAAATAATCTAATAAATTTTTTGTTATTTCAACTTCATGAGCTATGAACCCATGAAATATTAGGTAATCTTGGATTGAACGTAAAGAGATGATAGTGTCTGGGGACATATTGTCATCGATCAGACTTTTATTGCTGCTAAATCTTCGTTCAACTTGAGCTTGTCTGTGCAATGTGCTGCAGATTTGCATACATCTTTAAATCAGTGTATTTCCACAAAAAGTAGTGCAAACGATCCTTATCTTTATCAAAAGTTAAAAATACTTCTTTGTTATCAACAACCAAACTTTTACAGAACCTGGAATATTCTTTCTTAGCTAAATCACCAACAGAAGCTCTAATTTTCTTGTAAGTAACAAACTTCATCAACAGTTTGTCAAAAAAAAGTCACACTTTTCTGGATATTCAACCATAAATGATGGGGAAACACACCAGACAGCAAGCAACCAATGAAGACAATGGGTTTTTCTCAATAATATGAGTTACATTGAGACAAGAAAATCACATATTTCTTTTTTGTACTTGTCAATTTGAACATCAGTAATTTTTCCCTTACTCTTAAGTTGCTGAAGATCATATTTCAATAAAAAACCAACATGAATTTGGTTGGGTGAAAGCTAGTTCATGCAATTAAACAAATCTATATTTAACAAAGACGTTGTAGTTTTAGCATTTAAAAACACTTAATTGAAATTAACTTTGCATAAAAGTTGTGTAGTAGTTCTTTAAGTGTCACCACTAGAAAAGAAATCATTGGTTTATCAGTTTGAAAAGAAACTTAAAGAAAAAAATAGCAAGATTGAAAAAAAACTTTTTGTGATTTTGTCACAAAATTTTAAAAATAATATGAAAAGAATATCTCAGAATATTTTTATACTTTTGTAATAAAACAAAATTTATTTTTGTAATAAACAAAATATTACATACCAAGGAATGTATTTAGACTGTCACTAATCTCTTCAAAAAACTTCAACTTTAAAGGAATTAAAACTTCATTTGTTCAAGCACTTAAATGTTCAAAGCTGGTGTTTTGTTCTAATTTACCAAATCCAGGTTGCTTACTTTTTGGTAAAGACTTCCAGTAGTCAACAACTATTACTACTTTTGACCAAACCTCTATTGCTTTTTTGGCAACACTTTGATTTTCAGCGCATCGAGTACCACAAAACATGTTAGGAAAATCTGAACTTGTTGCCTCAGCTATTCTTTCATAATCAGTTGCTCTTGATGGACTTTCATGAAACACTTGGTACATTTTTTTTGTTATTATTTAATGTTTCGTATTGTTCACTAACAAACTCGATAGTTTTGTTTCATTAAGTTCACGTTTTAATTCTTTGTTTTCCTTTATAATAATCAGTTTGCTTTCTAATTTTTGTATACGATCATTAAAGATTTTTATTATTCTATTTTCATGCATTTTTAATAAATCCTTCACTTCATTTAATAAGAATTTGTTTGCCATTATTTAAAAGTAAGTTTATTATAAAGATTACAAAGATATAAATGGATGTAAATGAGAACGTTCGCAAAACTAAACTTCCACAGCCGCCATGTTTGCCGCCATTTTGCAAAAAAAAGGTAATCATCATTAAACCCGTTTTTTCATCACCATATAAGTGCTTTGCTTCCTATTTGTTAAATAACTCTTAAACCAGTTAAAATTTAAAATACCATAATTTTCAAGTTTAGTGGAAATAAGATTTTACTTATATTTCTTAAAGATTTTTTTAATTATAAGAATATTGTCCCAATATTTTTAATAGAGACTATTTTATCCATCAGTTGCTCTTGATGGACTTTCATGAAACACTTGGTACATTGAAGACATTAACTTCTTTAAGTTCCAATCAGTAGCTTTAGCACCAGTTTGTAAGGATCTATTGATAGTATGTAAACCACAGGTACCAATATCAATGAGTTTACTTAATTCATTGTTATGACGTTCTTTGTTGAGCATTTCAAAAAACAGTTTATTTGCATTAGGGCCATCCATAGAAACCTGAAGCATTTTTTGAGCCAGTAATGAAGGATTTAAACATTTTTTTAATCCTGCATGACTATTTAAACTAGTCATGCAGAACATTTTTAGAATTTCTGGGGCTGCTTTTCCCATGAACTCTGAATTATAATATCTTGTACAAACAGTATTACTCTCTTCATTCCAATATCACACATGTAAGTCCATTTGACCTTTCTTTACAACTTTATTGTAAGATTCATCAAAAAGACAACTTTTCCAGTAGGTTAAGATCTTTTATCAGAATTTTTTTTAAATATGGGGTAAGCAACCATGACTTACAACAAAACCAGATTTTATTTGACCACAGGAAAAGTCGCCGGCAACTTTGCTATCTGGAAACATCTAAGCAAATTGTTTAGACTTATTCTCACTTGATCTAAAAGAGTATTTGCTTTGAACAATATCTAAACACCAAATTAATTCTGCTTTTAAAATTGCTTCCTTTTGAAGCATATCTGAAATAATAAATAACAAAAGTATAGGATTTTACCTCATTAAAGAAGTAACTAAGTAACTATATGCTTATCCATAGATAAGTATAATCCATTTGCTTTAATAAAATTTTCTAGATAATAAAAAAAAAAAAGAAAGTAAGGAGAAATTAAGGAGAGCAGTCAAATTTTTACTGTTTTTAAGGTTATTTAAGGACTTTTAAGGAGTTTTTTTTTTTTTAAGGATATTTAAGGTTTTTAAGGAGGAGTGGGAACCCTGTATCAACCTTGTGGTTAAATATTGCCTGCATACAGTATGATAAAAATATAACTTTGAAGAATTTAGTAATAACTCATCATTTTTATCAAAACTCATATACCAAGCCAAAAAAAGTGGAAAAAATTAAATAGAACAAAAAACTTGTAAAACTTGGTAAGACAAAATCATATTTGACTAGAAAAAGTAAAAACATTCAACCTTTTATATACCTAATATATACTTTATATTGGTTCAAAAATTTAATATAACTTTTGAAATTATAAATATTATTGTCACTATTTTTATCATGATTATAATAATTTCAAGTTGATGGCAGGTAAATCAAATTAAAAGTAGATGGCAAGTACATCAAACAATGATGATAGCTTTTTTTAGCAATACCTTATCTCAGCTACTATAATGAACATGGATGTAAATCTTATGAAATGAATCCATGCTATAGTCACAGTGCCATTAGGTTACTAAGGTTACTAGGTTACTACTAATACTTGATCTTTTTTTAATTTTTTCTACTACTTTCTACATTTCAATGATTTATTGCTACCAATACTTGCTCTTTCTTAACTTTTTCTCAAATTATTAATTTTTTATATCACTATTCTGTTTCAAACTCTTACTATTATAAACAATGCTATTTTTATTATTATTATTATTATTAATTAATAAAATTGTTATTTTTCTTGTTAGTATAATTATTATTATTATTTTGATTATTTTTTTTATTTTATATTAGTTTTTATTATTATTACTGATACTATTATTAATATATTATTTATAGTGTTGTTACTGTATATTATTATAATTGGGGATGTTATGGAATTCTGTCCCAGCAAGAGTTTGTGACTTTTAGGTTATTTCAGTTCCGGCCGAAATTTATTTTCTATTTTTTTTATTTAGACATGTGACACAAACTGTGTAAATTAAATCAAAATATCATTATCCTACAGGGCAATTAGGAACTATAGGTAAACCTAGGTGAAAAATACAAATTTCTTAACAATTACAATGTAATTTTATTTGCAGTAATCAAATATGTAAGGATTTTTAAAAGTTAGCTCTTTTTTCATCTAAAATGTAACTTCAGGCTTGGACAGGAATGGCGTGCGATCGAGCGCTATTGCTGACCATGCAAATGATTTTATTTTATGACAACTTGACCATGACTGTTTAGATTATTAAATGATTTTTAATTATTTTAGAAATGCACTGAAAAAAAAGAAGCTAGCTAAATTAGGAAAAAAAATAATGAAAAAAAAAAAAAAAAAAACTCCTTACGAAAAAGAAAATATATTATCACTAAAATAAAAATCAAAAAACTCAAAGTGAAAATTACTTTTTATTTTGTCACGTTTTTAAATGTGTTTAAGCTAAATTACTTAAAAATTTAACTTGTGAAATGTTTTATCAAAGGTTACACAAAACTTTTCAAATAATTATTAAATGAATAAACAAATTTTAATTAAATTACTAAAAAGTGTTTTATATATTGTTTTTAAATTGTATAAACATTTTTTTTTTCTTCAAAAAAGTTGTAAAAAAAAAAACCGTAGTCTTTTTAAAATAGTAATTTTTAATCATTTCATGCTCTGCTTAGTTAGTCAAGTTTAAAAAAAAAATGCTTAAACAGTTCTTTGTAAAAATAGAAATAAAAAAAAAATTAATAACAATAAATAAAGCAATTAAATCATTCCTTTGCGAAGATTTAATTTAACTTATTCATAATTTAAAGTAACTTAAAAAAATATCTTTCAAAAAATTTTTAGAAAGATATTGAAAAATAGTTTCAAACAAATTATTATATTTAAATTCATCATAAAACATGCCTACATAAAAAAAAACTAAATATAACATTTTTATAATTTACACAAAATACGTTTATTAAACAATCACTATAATTACTTTTTATTTAAAGCCTCCGTGTTAAATAAAAAGATCAACAACTAAAAGTTATTAGTTGTTGTAACAATTTTTTTAAAGGCATTTAAATTGTTAAAACATCAGAACCACCATGGACAAATTTAAGCACTTAGTGCTAAAAGTACTTAGTCATAAAATAGATGTTTTGAGAAAATCTACTTTGATCAGCCATTTTAAATCCTTACTTGAAAGCATTATATCTCTGATCAAAGCAGATTTTCTCAAAACATTTAAAAATATAAAAAATATTGGTTGCCTAATACAGTAAATATTTCAATTTTAACCTAAATGGAAAAGTAGTAAAAAAAAGACAACTTTAAATATAAATATTATGCAGGCTAAAACTTTCAATTAATAAAATTATAAGAAACAAACAAAAACAAAATATTAGACTTTAATAGATTATATATATATATATATATATATATATATATATATATATATATATATATATATATATATATATATATATATATATACATATATTCTGGTACACCCTGAATTATAATCTACATTTCTTTTATTGCTATATCTTAATTAGGTATAAAAATGTCTTATATGATAGATAGATGTATAAAAGTAAATTGAATAAGTATATTTTGTTTTTAATATATAAAACATGTTACTTTATTATTATTACACATAAAGTTTTTTGCTCAAGTTACTGTTTACATTTTTTTTTTCGTTTTTTATTACGGAAAATTAGTACTTTCACTATATGTAAATATTCCATGAAATGTAAAATCTATTTCAGAATACATTTGTATTGATATAATATCAGCTCATCAAAATTTAAGATGAGCTGATACTATATCAATACAAATGTATTCTGAATGTTAGAAACTGTTTTTATTTAAATGGCACAACTACATATATAATATCACCATTACCCAAATGTATCCATAATCATAATATTACTTATAACCCTATAACTTTAAAACTTCATGCTACAAAACCATTGAATTGTTTACTCTTCCAATGAGGAATTTAAGGTCTTATTGAAGTTTTTTTAAAGAAAATAAGATCTCACGAAATTTAATTATTGTAAGAGCCAAAGACTACTCTACATAAAACATAAATTTAAATATTCATGTTGTGAATTTTATTACTTATTAACAGAACTTTTAAGGAAATAAAAAGCTTGCAAAATTTTAAAGTTAAAATTAAATTTTTACAAAATTAACATGATTTTTGAAAAGATTGTATTTTAAAATATATCTTTTCTAATAAAAATAAATATCAGTTATAATAGCAAGGGTAGTTATAATAGCAAGGTAGTTATAATAGCAAAGGTAGTTATAATAGCAAGGATAGATGCAACCCCATAATTTAAAGAAATCACAGCACAGTAGACCGAATATATGGTGGACAAAACTATTTTGACCTTTTTTTTAATTTTCTTTTGCTATTTTTCAACCATGAACTCCAAAACAAAAATCTTATTTTGGAGGTCACTGCGCTGATAAACAGGTTGAGCATGATCCAGAGACGTAGGGGAGGTTTGAACTTCAAACCATTTGATTGACAGTGTTCTACTACTAATCTAATACCACATAGTTCAAACACTTTATTTTACAATTACTTTATATTAATATTTAATCACATTTGTTAATTTTTTATATTTAACATTTCACTTCAATTCATTTTTTATTCAAACTTTTCCACTCTGTGTTATGCGTTCAAACAATTACTTTATGCTAAGACATATTTACTTTGAAATATTAAATTATTACCAATTTTGAAACTTAATTAACAAACTTTGTAACTTTAAAAATGCATATTTATAATTTTTTTTTTGAAAAAACTTCCTAAAATAATCTAATAAATAATAAGGTGGTGACGTTTTAAATAAAAAGATAATTTATGATAAATCTTTAATTTATGATAAAACTTTAGGTTTATAGATTAATTATGATCTATATATTTATATTACTCTCACTTTCTGGATGATATAATTGATGAAAAAAATGATGTAACATTAGGTATTAGTTTATTTTGTCATACAAGTATTATTTTAAAATATCAAATAAACCTGAAGGAAGAATTTAGGAGAGACATACATGATTTGAAAAATTTATAGACATTTTTTATAGATTTTTCTTCACTACCTGTGCATTGGACCGAATTTTAGATTCTAGATCTACACACCAAAAACAAGTCTAAATTTGGCGGTTGACAGCAGTTAGGAGAACTAAGGAACAGCTGACCTTATAGCTCACAAATAACTGTCAGAGAAGAGAGTAATTGACATTAGGAACATTTTTCTGGATGGAGTTAAAACTCCAAAACAACTAATTTGCTCCAAATAACAAAAACAATGAAAAAATTTATACACAGTTTAACGTCATGTTGATATTTATTTAGTCAACTCCATAATGTCACAGCTCATTACTATTATTAGTAGTATAAAAAACTTTTTCTAATAGAACTTTAGGATTTATGCCTGTTGGTAATTGTTACCCATCAAATACTTATAGGTAGCAACAGTGGCGTGCTGGCCCCAGAGGCTATGCAGAAATCCCGCTTGGGACTATCACTATTTATCCTAGAAGGGCCTTTTTTTTGAATTTTTATACCCTTTACTACATCCTGAAAATGATTCACAAATAATATTTATTTGCTTTATTTTTTATTTCACAAGTTAAATTCTTTAACAAATCTCTGATTCAAACTGTTGGAGTTCAAGCCCATATATATTAGTATTTTGCATAATAAAATGCAATCATTTGTAACTTTTGCCTCAAAATAAAGTCGATATTGAAAAAAATAATTGATCGTTATGTCACTTAAATCCCTTATTATATAAGTCATTATAGAGATAAAATTATTTAAGTTAGCTAATGATTATTATGAGAAATAATTTTGTTTAATTTTGAATTATGGAAAAGTATTTATATTGATAAAGTTTTTGTTAAATTAGAACGGCTAATTGTTTTTTCACAATCAAAAATAGTATTGTTTTCAATATAAATAATTTGTGTGACTTTTTATAAAATTTTTCTTATTGTATGTACTACTGCTATTTAAAAAGTATTTACATATTTTTTCTATATATACAAATAAATAAAGCATTTTACTTCTATTTGAAAGTATTCCGGATTTATTCATTTCAGCGACCACAAATACTTTTAAACTAATATTTATAATTATAAACTTTAGTAACTGTTTTTTTTTCAAAGAACATAGTTGGAAAATCTTTGTCTGTTTTAATTATAGCTTCTTCTTTTTTTAAGATTTGACAACTCACTAGATAGAATGTCGTTTAAAACAAAACCTAAAACGATGTAAAAAAATTAACTAATTTTGAAGAAAAAAATAGAAATCCTATTTGGTTACAATAAAATGCGCTGAAACTTGTTTATTTTTAGGAATGAAAACTTACCAAAGCACAATAAATGCCATTTTTAATTCTAAGTAAATTTAATCATAACTCATTGCTTTAGTATGTTGATTTAACTGGATAAGGTTATTTTATTATTTATATATACATATTATATATACATACATATATACATACATACATACATATATATATATATATATATATATATATATATATATATATATATATATATATATATATATATATATATATATATATATATATATATATATATACACACACACACACATATATACATAAATATTTAAATATATGTGTATATACATATATATTTAAATATACACACATATATATTTAAATATATATACAAATGTGGGCCTTAAAATTAAGCATATTTGGCAAAATCCAGCATATATCGACCTTTTTGAAAAAATTCCTGCATGTGCTTTTTTGAGCCAGCACGCCCCTGGGTAGCAATAGGTGTTTGATGGTTTACAATTGACAGGCACATAAAATATTTTTTTAAAAAATTGATTTTTCACTTCTACTAAAAATGAGCTATACCATGACAGTTCTATAAGAAAAGATTTTTTAATTTTTTTATTATTAAAAACAAATATACTAAATAAAAAATATAATCAAAATTAAAGTATTTAATTTGACTTAAAATTAATCTAAAAGAATTTAATTCAATCTTGTTACTATTTCTAAGAATAAATTCTTACTTTTCTTTGATTTGAAGAAGTTCTTTTTCGATTTTTCCACAACTGATACAATCCGCAACACTAGGCGTCCTAATTTTTAAAAAACAAGAAAACAAACATCAAAAATATCAAAATAATAATCAGTATAAAAAAGAGATAAATGACTTATGGTTATTTGTTTATATATGTTTATAGAGAAACTTTTATAGTTTTGGCTAAATAATAAAAAAATATTAAAATAAAATTTTAGCTAAATTTTTTAAATTTACCCGCAAAAGGCATATAAGATGACTACAATTGAAGATTAGTTAGTTACAGATTACAGTCAAGGAGTAGTCAGTTTTAGCTGGGGTCCCGGCCCCAGCTAAAAATGAGACTTTTTACAAATCTGACCCCAGAAAAATTATAAGATTTAGCAGGGGTTGGAAGCCGGGGCTAGAAACAAATTTATAATGTTTAATATATTATAATTTTATACTTACATTTACTATTTATTAAATTTTGGCATATATTTATGCTAGTATTTAATAAATAGGGACAGATACAGTAAAAGGATACAACTTGTTGAATAAGAAGCCAAGCAAGAATGAGTTTTGGTTTACTATAATAGAGATGATAGCTCGTTTGAGCATTGACCATGATTAGAGAAACAGCATAAAAGTAGAAGGCTAAAGCCTAATGATGTCATCATCGTCAACAGATGTTGATGATGACAATGATGATAATAATCATAATGATAATTATGACGATGATCATGATGATGATCATGTTGATTATAATGATGTTTATAAACGCATATATTCAAAATCAAACATAAATTTTGAAGAAAAAAAATGTACTTTAGGATGTATAAAGGTTTATGCAGCCCCAGTCACAAACCCGACCCTGGCTATATTTTATCAAACCTGGCCCCAGTCAAATATCAACCCCAATTGTTTACTATTGAGGAGTTTAATTTTATTGTGTTTACAACCCTCTCTAAACTCTATAACTCTGAAACATGAATTTTGATTGAACACCAGGGATGTAGTGAGGATCGAACTCAGAACTTCCGACTAATGAAGCAAGCACTCTCTCTCAAAAAATTATTTAAAAACACTTGTTTATTACTTTAATAAATGAATATCTGCAAAATTGAAGTTCAGAGAAAAAATTTTCAATTTTAAGTCAAGTCTTAATAGCTAAATGAGATTTTATAAAAAAAAATTTATTTGAAAATTTTACTTTTTGTAAATGCAATGCATTTTAGTGAAGCTGCACCAAGCAGTGAACGCCTTAGGGATAAATAATAAGTTAAAAAGAGTTTAGCAGAGTGAGATAAAAGTACAAAAGGACAAATGTCCAGTTGAAAACAAAGAGCCTTAAAGTAGAAAAATACTAAAAACTGATATAAGTAATATGTAGTAAAAAATAAATAAGAACAATAAACAATAGTCAAGGAAAGTTAGAGTCATTAGTTGTTGCGCTACTAAATTGTTGTTAGTGTCGAGCGTAAATGTGATGCATAGACATAATTAGTAATGGAGTAGAATTATTCGTTATATAAGTAGTTATCGTGTAGTCTGTATTATTAGGGTGATAAACATACATTATAGATATGTGTCATGAACGTCTCAAGTACAGTATGGATTTGTGCTTTACACATGAAAACCTTCAGCTTTTATCCGAGACTCGTATCCCAAAAGAAACTTGTGTTATCCCAAAAGGACTATTCTCAGAGTAACCCGATCGTAAAAATATTTTTAATACAACTTTTAATTCTGTGAAACTTATGAAAAATTCGATTATTTAAAAAAACAAAACTTACATAAAAACTAGCCAATCTCCTGTTGTGGCACCTGTTGCAGCTTGAGTTAAATGTTCGAAAGAACTATCATCTAACAATATTAACCCTTCTTCTGCTATTGCAGAAAACAAAATTGAAAGCGTAACCAAAATGTATGCATTGCATATCCTTAACTTCATGATATTTTTTTCAACTAAATAATTTGTTTGGGATTTTAGAAAACGAAACATAAAAACTGATAATCAAATCACACTACGATTAAAAAAAAAAATTTTTAATATTTTATTTTATACTTTACCCTCTAAGAAACTTGGAACAAAATAACAAAGAGCCGTCAAATTTTCTTTTATTTTGCTGCGTTTAAAAGTGTAACAAATACACGTGTTCTTCACGTAAACCACAAATTTGATGACGTTAACAACATGAAGCTTAAAAGGTAAAAAAGAGGGGTTCCAAAATTCTATATTTTTTGTTTCACCAATTATTTTTTTAGAAAAGTTCAAAAAACAATTCAGTTTTTGCTGTTTTTTTGTAGTTGGCCTTCCACTTCTATTTTTAACATTTTAAGATCTCGGTGTAGTTAAGGCGATTTACAAATTATTCGAATACTTTTATTTGGAATTAGCATGATTTTATTAGCGTATTAAGTCTAAACAAAAGCTTTAGATAGTACAATTTTTTTTTGCTTCAGGTTTTTTTAATATTTAAAGAAACTTTTCTCTTTTTTATATAAATTTCAAAACCTTTTTACTACCCGTAATTTTGAATCTAAAGAACACTACTTTGGGAGTCTTTAGATCAATTCCGTTCATCGGCGTTAACATGAATTTAGTTAAAATCTTTTGAAAAAGTTCCTTAATTTACTACTGATCCTAGTTCTAATTGGTTCTGACGTATATTAACTATATATAGTTGTCAAAACACAATATTTCTATCAATTTTCAAAATACTAGAACTCCGACCAAGAAAGAGCTTATTATTATGGAAAATTGCCAATAAACGATCAGAACAAATCATTTTGTCAAACTATAATGTTCATTTTACCTGAAAAACGTATTAATTTAAAATCTTATTCAAATTTGGACGAGCGATTGTGACTTTAAGATGATTTAAAAAAAAAAAAAGAATCTTTGGTCTGGGTTTTTTCGCTACAAACATTTAAATTTTATGATAGCGCAAAATTAATTATTTTAATATTTTTTCGTCTTTTCAAAATTCACAGACCTGACCATTTAACGGAAATATGCCGTAGTCAACAAAATATCATGGAGACGCTATAATATTTTAAAAGTGCCTTAACTTCACCGAGATGTTAAAAAAAACTTAAAAAATAGAAATCTTTGTAGTAATTTTTTGAGTGTAAAGTTACGCAACATTGAGTTAAAACTTATGCAATTTATATCCAACATAATATACGAACCATTTGAGAAATGAAGATTAAAGTAATTTAAAAAAGAAAGCGGAAAAGGAAAAAAAGAACAGTAAACTTTACATCACCAAAAGAAATTATATTTTAGCTTTTTTAAAATTACAAGACAGCCCATTTACTTGTGAACCAGATATCAATAAAAATACTGAAAAGTAAAAAAAAAAACTTAAATATCAAAAGCGATCGAAGAATTGGTGATTTATTTTAGGGATACAAATTGGTCGTTGCCGCGAATATCACCGTGCGCCTTATATATAAGACATAAGACACACGTTGCAAAAAGGTACCAAGTCTTCTAAACTAGTTTTGGAAATAATGAGCAGAAAAGGACTTCGTTAAAATAAGGAAAAATACGTTTTTTTTAATTTTTGGATCAGTATATAAAAATGGACCATATTTAAAATTTTTTTATTGTTTATCTTTTTTTATTACTATGTTAGTAATAAAAAATAATTCAAAAAAAATTATTAATAAAAAGTGTTTTTCTAAATTTACGGAAAAGGTACCCCATTGTCCGAATCTTCGCATTGAGTAGAAAGTCTTTCTTAAGCTTGTTGGACATCTTATTTTAAAAAAACTTTTCAATCTTTTAGAGTCTCGTTAATGAAAATATTTGCAAGTTTTAAATAAAATATGTTAAGAACAAAAAAAAAATTAACATACGTACCTTTTTCGCATGCATAGAGCTTATAAAAAATTCATAAAATGGTTTGTTTTTCACTTTCACATAAATCTTAGATAGGTTAATGGTTTAGTGTGTTGTCATCAGTGCTGATTCTAAAGGTTGAAATCCGCCTCTTAGCCTGAAATATTTTTTAAATTTTTCAAACTTGTCGTATATATTTATAGCAGAAATATATACAGCAAAAAAGACTTTTAATTGTAAAAATAAAATTTTAAAATTTTCTCTTATTATAAAAAAATTAATATCAATTTGTATAAGAGATTAAATAAATGGTTTGATTTTGATTGTCGATACCTTAATGGTTTAGTCCGCTATCCTCATTGACGTTTCTGAAGGTTCAAATCTACCTCTTAGAATAATACATTTTTCAATTTTTTCAATCTCTGTATATTTATATTAAAAAAGTGTTTTAATTGTTAAAAGAAAGGTTTTAAAGTTTTATTTACATATATCATTTTAAACCTTCAAACTCAATTTATGCTAAAGACATTTACACTTACAGTTTGTAGTAACGCTAGTCAATTAGAGTTTTTACAATTGGGTAATTTAAATGATATACTGTTATTACATATACATTTACAAAAACGCGCTAAAAGACTCTTTTTCACCATTACCTCGGTTGTAATGGTTGCCAAGAGTTCTGTGTCAAACAAATACATTACTAATATTACTATTGCTACTACTACTACTACTACTACTACTACTACTACTACTACTACTACTACTACTACTACTACTACTACTACTACTACTACTACTACTACTACTACTACTACTACTACTACTACTACTACTACTACTACTACTACTACTACTACTACTACTACTACTACTACTACTACTACTACTACTACTACTACTACTACTACTACTACTACTACTACTACTACTACTACTACTACTACTACTACTACACTCATTCGCCACAGAATGATAGAGTATTCCCACAGTTGAAAAAAAAATATATAAAGTACAATATTTTTGCTTTCTAAACAACATTTAATATTAATATTTACAGGGGTGGGACCGCAAAATGTGAACACTTTTCTGATTGTAATAATTAATTTTCTGTTAAATATGAACTATTTTAAATATTCAATTTTTGTTTTTTTACATATTATATTTTACTTTGTTTACATATTCATTAGTACTTTGTCTTTCGTTTTTTATCAAATAAACTCAACTACATCTAACGAGAAAATAGTTATAATAAAACAAAAACGTTCACATTTTGCGGTCCCACCCCTGTATTATTATATAAACAATTTTATAAAATCATTGGATATATATCAGGAAATATCGTATGATAGATTTATTATAAGTATTTTGAAGATACAATAAATCATTAGTTTTTAGACATTTAAAAACTTTATACTTGTACTTTATAATTTAACTTAAAAATTTTCTAAAATTCTCCTAAACTTTGATTTTGAAAATGTCATTGGTTATGCGAATATAAGAAATGCCTTCATATTGAATGCATTTCTTATATTCGCATTTCTTATCATTAAATGCTCACCATCTCTGATATTGATTTACCAATCGGTATTAATTATCTTGTTCCATTTTTACCCTTAGCGCCAAAATCTATAATTCACTGAATATTACCTATGTTGCAGATGGCACGCAAGTATCTACCAAAGAAAAAGAAATCCTAGAGTGATATCAATTTCCAATTGCCTATTCAAGATGTTAAAGATGGCGATAAAATATTAGCGGCAGCAAAAACATTTGGAGTCCCAAGAATTAGATTAACGCTGACAGATAAGATAAATGGACGTAGACAATCAAGCTTTGTGGGAGGAAAAACAGTGTTTACAAAGCAACAGAAACGAGCACTAGTAAACAGGCTTTTTTACATGGCAGATCGTAGATTTCCATTGATAACAAAGTGGTTGAGGTATAATGCTTATTTATATGCTAAAAAACTATATTGTCGTCAATTTCTTCAAAAAGATTTGCCTACGACAATCCATAAATCTCACTTAGATTACTCACTTATATATAAAAAAGAAAATTTCTGGATGTGTTTTTCAATCCAAGTTAACTCGAATAAGAAGAAGTTCTCCATCAAAGAAAAAAAAAGTGGCTCAAGAAAGAAAAGGAATTTTTCACCCAATAAAATAAGTGCATATGGCTCAAAGAAGAGCAACCGTGGTGCAATGGTAGCACACACTTAACCTCACCTCTGAGCAAGTTTTGCGACATCAGTTAGAAAGGAGGTATGAACTTCCAACTAAATGCTCATCCGCGGTGCTCTGTAATAAGACCGAAAGGACTTCTTGGGGCACCTAAATAAAATAAAAAAAAAATAAAAAGAAGAAGAAATCCCGTAGTTTAAAATCATTATTGAATCAAAAGCTACCGAGTAGATCAAAAGCTTCAAACAGAAACAACAAAAAACAACTAACTGCTGTGAGGTGATCAATAGCTACCGAGTACATTAAAATCTTACAGTAGAAACAACGAAAAACAACTCACTGCTGTGCGGTGTGATAAGGGGTGGATTTATCAAAAGACTGGCCCCAATGTGTTTCTTGTTAAATATGGGCATGTAAAGTCTGCTTTTGCATCAACATGTACACAGAATATGCTTATTTCGACAAAATATAATAAAGCTTTAAGTCTTTTTACATTGACGAAATGTAAGGCTGCAAGTAACCACTACTAGAGTTAGAAGTTACTGGAAAAGCAAAGAAAAAGTTTATAAAGCAAGATACTAAATAACAGACGACTCAAAAGATTGCAAATTATATGAGTTAGGAAAACAAGAAGATAAGACCAAATTTCAAAAGTGATATTTGAGGGAAAAAACTAGAAAAATAAGAATTTTTTAAGAACTTAGGAACAGCCACATTTAAAGGATGAGACTTAAGTGAATAACAAGTAACACGGGAATCAATTTTAGTAGATGGCTTAAGAGATGCTAGGTCTTTAGAGCAGCGCCTATTATAGTATTTATTGAAAAGAGAAAGACAAGCAACATTACTATAATGTGACAATGGTTGAAGGTTAGCTGCAAGTGCCAGGACCAACGACACGGGTTTCGAAGTGGGGGGAGGAGGAACAATTGTCAATTCTTAAAAAAAGTCTTCTATATCTAGAATTTTTTTCAAAAAAAAAAAAGCCTTTAGAAAAAAAGTGGTGGTTGGGGTGGGGGGTGGGGGTGGGCACATACCCTCTTGGCTTCCCCCCCCCCCCCCGTGTTGGCCCTGAGTGCAGGACCAATAATGTTTTCAACGTTAAATACGGGTTTGAGATTTGTAGAGATAAAGAATAGAATCCAGAAAAAGAAAATGGCAAGCACGATAAAATGATGCAACCTAAGCAGATGCTAATTTTGCAATAGAATTTTTCAAATCTAACTAATAATGAATTCGAAATTGCGTTTAAATCATTAAAAAGGAATAAAGCAATAGGGCCTGATAATAT